TCGCCGGAGAACAAGACTCGTCGGATAAGAAGCATTTGTGAGAAGGAGTGGCGAGGGAGAAGTTGACTCTGTGAGAAGGAGCCACGTGGGAGAAGCAGCGACACATAAGAAGGAGGATCGCCGGAGAAGCAGCAGCGCCGGAGAAGAAGACTCACCGGAGAATAGGGTTTTCGGAGAGAAGAGAGAGGAGTCCGAGGAATGTGAAAAGTTTTAGATTTTAGGTTTATGATTTTGGGCTTTGATTTGTTTTGTAAATATTTTTTATTTTTTTCAAAATTAAATGAAAATGGCATTTTCGTTAATAAAAGTAAAAATTGGTTTGAATGTCTTTCTACAATTACAAAAGATGTAGGTCATTCTAGTTATGAGTTTCAGAACAGAGTCAAACAAATTATTTAACATAAGATATGAGTTATTCTGAGTAATTTTAACTATTTTATATACCTCACTTTTTTTTTTGGTAGGCAACGGGGAGACACGCAATTATTACAAAACTAAAAATAAACTAATTCCGAATGAGTCTTGGAAACGCAGTTCCTCGAGCATCATCCTGGACCAGCTCATCCACAGACGTCGGGGCCGACTCTAATAAATGAAAGCCTAATGGCAAAGAAAAAGCATGGTTAGCTAACCCATCCGCAGGACGGTTAGCCTCCCTATATACATGCGAAATCCGGACTATCCAGTCCCTGGAAATGAAGCCATGGCACAAGCGTACCAGGAAAGACAGGGGATTCGAATCGCTTACCCCTGCCTTCAAGAAACCAACCACCAACTCCGAGTCCACCTCCAACTCCAAACGCGTCACCTTCCTCTCCCAAGCTATATATAAACCATAGTAGACTCCCCATAATTCTGCCAAAGGAGCTGAGCAAATACCAATGTTAAGAGCAAACCCTTGTACCCACACTCCCGTTCTATCTCGCAGAACTCCACCGGCCGTGGCTACTCCCGGGTTCCCTCGAGATGCCCCATCCGTATTCAACCTTAACCACCCCTCCCCCGGTGGTTTCCATGATATCATTCTCTCTGTTCGACCTCTCCTCTCCATATCCTCACGAGTTGACCTATGCGCCTGATTAACTTCCACGGATAGGTCCTTTATAAACTTCACACGATCCCGACATTTTCCGGTTTCCCCAAAAACATACCCGCATCGCCACTTCCAACTCCACCATACCCCCATTGCGAACATCGTTGACCATGGACACTCCTTCGTGTTGTCTCCTGGTTTTAAATTCTCAAACAACCACTCCAACAATGAGCCATGAAAAAAGCTCTGTCTCCTCCGAGCCGGTACTATGCGGGACCAAATCCCGAGAATTGACGGACAATCTCTCAGCACGTGCATGATCGTCTCTTCCCCTCCCTTACATACTTGGCAGAATTTTATATACCTCACTTGATGTGTGGTGGTAATAAAAAAAAAAAAACAATTTTTTTTAATAACAAAAACAATTTTTTTTTCTTTTTACTGTTCGTCATGTTATCTCGAAATTAGGACATGGATTGAGTTTGGTCCAGAGTTCTTCAACCGTAGACATGTACGAAGGTATAATAATGTGCTTAGAAGTTCTGGAGGGGCTTGCAGGAGTTGCGTGCCACAGACATTTACTACAAATCTCTTTTGCTTGATACAACAAGCTTCTTTCTCAATCTGCTTGGCATTTCTCACTTTAAAACGAATTTTCCTATAATAATACTAAAGTTCCTTACTATAATAATAAGTTAACATTTGCGGCTTATAATGTTGGTCTTTATTTCACACTTATTAGAAATTTATTTTTGTTTTGTATTTCATTACATATATCAATATAAAATACCAAATAGCTGGTTTTCTTATGTTTGAGATTTAATTTTTCCTTGGTACAGAGCGTTATTTTCTAAATTGGAATATCTAAAGCCTGACTCCGAAATATTGGAGGAGACTAAGCCAAAGAGGCAAAGATCACATTAGTTTCTACGATAAGGGGATGGCCTTACCAGTGTGAGGCAAAATAATTTTTTTAACAACAAATAGAATCACTACTTTTTAAGTTTAATTATATAATATTTAAAACTTTTTAAAAGTTTATTAACCGTATACAAACTTTTAAATTTGGATGTTTGGTAAATTAATCTTCATTCTCATTCAGATTTGGATATGACTCTGAAATGTTGTCTAAACATTATATTTTATTTGATATGGGACGATGAACACACATTTTTTTTATTAATTGACTAAAAAAATGTCAGTTATTTTTTTTAATTCGAATCACAATATATGCATAAAATATATTTAGATTTTTTATTAAGTTTATGTATTATATGCTGATCCAAAAAATTTTAAAACAAAATTAAGCAAAAATGATAGGAGAATTATAATTTATATATTAACAAAATCTTCTAAATATTTATATTATTAATTATGGAACATTATATTCATATTCTTAGTTTTATAAATAATGTTAAAATCTTTTTATTATGTTTGGTTATATGTATAGTAGAGAATTAATTTTTTAAATATACTTCAAAAAATACTAGTATAGATATATTTTCTTGTAATGTACTATAAAATAGTTCACATAATGCCAACTAGACGAACTTAGAATCTATAAACAAATTATTGAAAAAACTATTACTAAATAATATGTTGTCAATAATATATAGATGCCATGGTTTAGTTGTACCAAAAAGACTTATCTTTAGGACTTTTTAATTCAGAAAATTTCATCATATAAACTATTAAATGATTTACATGAAACTCAGATTAAAAGAATATTTTCATATTCGAAAGTAACATTATAGACATCATATCATATATTCTAAAGTTGAGAATTATTTATATATTTTCATGTATTCAGTTTAAGGAATTGAGAAAGCTTAAGTATAAAATTAGAGTCACAATGACATATATGTAGCTCATATACTTTAAAAATTGAATATATAAATTAAAATAAAGAATCTAAAACTGCTACAATTAAATTATGGAATATTACAAAAAGGAAAAGCATATCACACATATTCCTAAGTGAAATATAATCGCTAACTAAAATGAAAAAAAGAAAACAAATATTAAATCTCACACATTAGTAACTGAAAAAATTACGAATATTTGTTATTTTTTGTTTAGACAAAGAAAAATAAGTTAAAAATAGCGTCGACGTCTAATTGATTGACTTATACTTTACTCAATCTTGTGAATTAGAATTTTCACATGTGCAGAATTCTCATGAGAAAGTTCAATTTTCATAATCTTATTTCATTTTATCCAACTTGCAAACTCTATCTTTATCTATCTAAATTATATTGTTTTTCTTCATTCTTTTGCTTGCTCTACTTGAAAGTTTTTTCCAAAGATTTTATTTCCTTTCTTGCAAAAGAAGAAAAAGTGATGAAACAAACAATACTTTTAGTTTATTTTATTGTCAGAGTTTCTAATGTAATTTATACATATAACAAAAAGTATCCACATGATATAAGATCCACTTTATTTAATGGATAACTCTTAATTTTTGAACACCAAGAACATCATATAATCAAATTCATATTTATTTAGTTTAGTAACTGATCTTCATAAATTGCAACAATAGATTATGATGTTTTTACTCATCTTTATATCTATCATCTAACTTGTGACATTCAATATCTTTGGTATGAAGCTTATTATTTGGGATATCATAACCTATGTTACAATCTTGAAATATCGGTATCCCAATGATATTTTCTTCTAGCGGATACCCATTCACGGATAGACGAAAGTGGTCATCATCGAGATGGATGAACAATTGTATTGTCTTCATCTTCAATATTATCTCGTCCAATTTGAGGGAAGATTTTAGTTTCTCGTATTTCGGTATATTCTTCTCATAACAAATTATTCCATCACTTATTTTCTTCGCAATTGTTTTTTGGAGAAAACACAATAAACTATTTTGATTAAACTAATAGTAAAAGTTCATGTGACCAGCTGTATTGGATTTGCACAACATTTTATATATCTAAAATTTTCCATCGATGATTATTGAACTTAAATTGATTCTATCATTCTACTTCTTCAATTCTTCATATTCAGTGACAAATGTATTCCACAAAACACCACATCATCTCCTAAGGTGAGAAATGCTTTCGGCAAAAATGATCACTAAAATTTCCTATATATATATATCACTTTTAAACTGAAAATATTAATTATATAAAAATATAAAATTACAAGAGTTAAATTCAGGAATACTAAAATATATATCAATCACACATATAGCAACTTATATTAGTATTGTAAATGTATTTTTTTTGTTAATTTTCTTATTTAGTTAAGAATAAATTAAAAAAAATGTGTCCACATCTAATTGATTGATTAACACATGTCTTAATCCTGTTGGTTAAATTTTTGGCATGTATCGAATTCTTATGAGAAAATTCAAGATTCATATAATAAGAGTAGATGATACCTACAACACACAATGTTTTTTTTGAAGTATAATTAAATTTTATTTAAAAGGTGTGGATGTAAATATATAATATTGAAACTGATTTTTATAGTTATGTACCGTTTTCCTATTAAATGTAAATTTTAGTTAGACTATTATTTGTCTTACAATAAGCAATGTTATACACACGGCCTAGACTATAGAGATGTACAAATTTGTCATGTTTAATATTTTTATTTTTATATAAGATTGATTCTATGTATGGAATATTTAAAATTTGTACATTGAATATAGATTTTGATGAATGGAATTTTTTATGAAGTTTTATATATTTGGAGAGAAATATTCAAATTTCATTTTCTCACTTTTAAATTCGTTTTAATTAATTATTCTATCTAACTAATTAAATGAAAATTTAATGACATATAAATATAATGTAATATTCAACAAATTTAAAGTTGATTTTTAAAATGTAGTTCCTTTTTAATATTAGTAGGATATACACATTAGCATACATGTTTTTAACCAACAAAAATCTGACTCTCCAGAGAATCTTTAGACCAAACATAATGCTGAAAAAGCTCTTTTAATCTACATGTAGTCGTAATCGTCCATGGGACCATAAGGACCAGCCACTAGATTATCATCGGGCTTATCTACAATAGGTTGTTTCTTCTTTCCACCTAATGAATCAATGAAAAACAAGTTCATGATCACAAAATATATTCACACTTAAGTTCAAAGTAACAAATTAACAACACTATTTGCCAAGAATAAGTTTAGAAAGTGATTGTGAGTGCACATATGACATACCCATCTTCTTTTTACCCGCAACAGCTTGTTTCTCTGCCTTAAGTATTTCATTTGCTATCGCTGTAATTGACGAAGCGACATCTTCAGTATCTGCTGCTTTCATGTTGGTCATTGAAAGTCTCATGATTGTTTTGAGTAGTGCAATATAGTGATAACTTTTCTGTAAAACATAAAATATGATTGTTAACATGTCATGAGCGTTATAGCCAAAGAGAAACGTAAAAGAAAGAACACAAACATACCTCAAATGGTTTAAGGCCATGAGAAATAGTTTTAGCATATTCCAAAAAATCACTTTCGGACTTGGGGAGAAGCATCTCAATGTTTTTTTCTAGACCCTTCACTCCAAAGAGTTCAGAACTCGCTTCCGGGGCTTTATACTTCTGTACAACAGTTTTGGAAGCTGCTTTCTTGGGAGCCTTCTCGGGAACAGGGTTTACGACAGGCGGCTATACGAAAACAAATTCATGTTTCAAATCATAAACCAATCATCCATATTTGCTACTGTATTGGGTAGTAGTAATATATAAGCTGCTAACTTCTCTTCTCTTGTTTTGATAAACACCAAAGCTCTCTAAATTTTATTATGGGATGAAGTTTCACAAACGTTAGCTGATTGATACTAGCTAGTAGCTAGTATCAAATTACATCAATGTATCTAATAATAATCAAAGCCATTCTACATTTTAAGCTATATAAGAGGTTGAAAAATTGAAGTGTATGCCAGTAAGTATTATAATTTAAATTCGTAAGTTTTTTACTATTTGAGAATTTGTTAAACTGGTTCCAAAAAAAAGTTTTATATGTAGATAACGTTAGTTTAAAAAAAAAAAAACAATTCGCGTTAGATGATGGTCCACGTTAAAAAAGAGAGGAATTTGCTCGGATTGAAGGCGTTGCAGTTTCGCCGGCAAACATTAACGCTCTGCATGTCAGCTTGACCTCTTACATGGGCTTGTATTCATCGGATCTCGGTCAAATGGTGAACCAAGAACCAGAGAAAAGACCACAGACCCGATCGATTGCGTAAAGCCCGCAGTAACGAAACCAAGGAAAGTATACAGAAAAGACAGTGTACCGCAGTCAGGATGCGCTTCCGTTGGGAGGGACGTCTGCCGATAGATGTGTATCACATAGTGACATAGATGTACAATGGATCTCCTTTGCTCGATACTACGTGTGCTTGATCAATCCGGTAGCTTCTTCAAGTTGGGCATTACTCGACCCAAAACGAAAATCCCTTGAAACTTACGTTTTTCTTCCAATGTCTTTAATATTATATGAAATAAAGAGATGAGGAAGATCTCTTCCAATGTATAACCTAGGCCTGAGCTAAATAACCGAACCACAAGAACCGAACTGGAACCGAAACAAAAAAACCGAACCAGAACCGAACTGAAATTTTAAAATACTCAAATGGATCCTAAATTTTAGAACCGAAAGAACCGGAACCGAACCGAACCAAAATATTTCGGGTACCCGAAAATACCCGAAATATGAGTTTATATCTAAAAATATTAGTTTTTTTAAGGTCGAATAACCAAAAATAGCCGAAATACCAACAAATATATGGAGAATATATGAAAAAATACTTACAATATCCAAAAAATACAAAAAAATATCCAAAATACCTAAAAATATCCGAATGGATCCTAAATTTCAGAACCGAAAGAACCTGAACCGAACCGAAATTGATTGGTTCCTATATGGATCCTAAACTCTAGAACCGAAATAACCGGAACCGAATGGGTACCCGTACGCCCATGCCTACGGCGTTTGCTAATACAGTGATTCTAGGTTTCCTACCAACATTAGCAAATTCAAATTGTAACGTACCAACATTTTCTCTCTTACTCAATAGGATTCTTTAAAGATTGGACAACCAGAAAAGCATCCATGGATAAAAGAAATTGAATCCCCAAAAGATTTATCATCATCCTCTTCACATCAATGTCAATTATAAATTTATACGGACAATTTAAGTAAAGAATTTTCAACCACCAAAAAGAACCAAAAACATGACTCCAGAGAATCTCTAGACCGAACCAAAACAAAAGCTTTTTCAATGTTCCAACTATATATTCCCACAACAAGAAATTTGGCTTCTTCTTGCTCTATTCGAACCAAAATTAAGAAAATTTGCTTCTTCTGAGTGATAAATAATAAAATAGACGCTGGGCAATCCAATTTGCATTTGCTCAAAAAGCTCTTTAATCTACATGAAGTCGAAGTCGTCCATGGCATCATAAGGACCAGCCACTAGATCGTCATCGGGTTTATCTACAATAAGTTGTTTCTTCTTTCCACCTGATGAAGCAATGCAATGGTCATGTAAAATGGATTCAGAATAACGAATTCACAAAACTAAAAGCCAAAGATAAACCGCTGTAGCCAGAGGCATGAACGAAACTCAGGACAGAATTTAGAAAGTGATTGTGAGTGCACATACCCTTCTTTTTGCCTGCAGCAGCTTCTTTCTCCGCCTTTAGTTTTTCATTTGCTATCGTTGTAATGGACGAAGCAACATCCTTAACATCTGCTGCTTTCATGTTGGTCAGTGAAAGTCTCATGATTGTTTTGAGCAGCGCAATATAGTGATAACTTTTCTGCAACAGAAACCAAATATGATTTTCACACGCCATGAGCTTCGGTTCTAGCAAATGATAATAAAGGTATGTCTTTAAGACAGAATACAGCATACCTCATATGGTTTAATCCTATGAGAAATCATTTCAGCATATTCCAAAAAATCGCTTTCAGACTTAGGGATAAACATATCAAGGTTTTTTTCTTCATCCTTCACTCCAAAGAGCTCAGCGGTTGACCGGTAGTCGGCTTCCTCAACAAGCCTGTGATAGAAAGAATATAACATATAAGATCACATAGACCTTCACAGCCTTCTATCTAAATGATATTTCTTTCCTTCCAACAAAGACGCAAAGTACAAAAGATTAAAGGGAAGTATTGTTTATAAAGTATAAACTGTACCTCTGCTGGCGAAGTTTCTCCACTATAGGATCTAGAGGTTCTTCTTTAGGAACTTCGATTGCTTTACCCTTCTTTTCAACAGTTTTGGGGGCTGCTTTCTTAGGAGCCTTCTCCGGAGCAGGTTTTACAACAGGCGGCTACAGAAAAACAACAAGGCAAAGCAGACAAAACATAAATGTTCCCGCTGGAATCTCAAACCAAATTACACGTAGTAGACAATACGGAAAGAATTACAGAGAGTAAAAACTAAGAAATACCTGAGCAGGTTCTTCATCATCATCCTCCCATGACTCCTTAATTTCATTCACATCAACATCCTCATCATCCCAGTTACTTTTAAGCTCAACTTTTGCTGGAAGTGGTGCAATTTGCTCGTCCTCTGAAAGTAAATAATTAAAACCTATAAGACTACTCACATGCAAGTGATTCGATTTTGAAATGTGAATCCAATCAAATTAGCAAATAATCCAACCAATGCTATAATTAAATAAGACGACTATATTTAGATACAAATAGAGAATATAAGAGAGGACACTTAAAGCATAGTCTTACCCCAGTCATCCATATTTGCTGCAAATTATCGGGTACAAATATAAGCTGCTATCTGAGTCCAACTGGTAAACCTGCCAAACATACGCTTAAGCATCAGAATCAAGTTGATTGGATCAAACTACATTACTGATCAATCCATATAATCAAATACACGGATCACCCCGCTCATAAATGGTCTCTCCACGGTGATGCTTACATCTAAAACACTTCTATGTCCTGGTACGTTTTATAACATGCATAAAACCATATTGACATTTCAATAGCATCCTCATTCTGTTAATCAGGATGATATTTTAAATAAAAGGTGTAAACTAGACATAGCAGTCCAACTAAAGTTCACAGCTGATTTCGCAGCTAAAGTTTACATCTAAATACACTGATTTCACAGCTAAAGTTCTTACAAAAAACATAGACATAGCAGTCCAACTCGTAGTACACACCCACGAAGAACAGCTAAACCTAATGCTTACAAAAACCAAGATACATTCTATCAATTAAAACTATTACAGGCATGTCAGCTATATCTAAATCACAAGTTTCATGAACTCTCACAGATGCCAAACAAAAAACATTAACCAAAATTCTTCTGATTTTGGTAATCAAAGTGTGAAGATTCAAATCTCAGTCAAATCCATATAAATCCCTCAATCGAAACCAATCAACATGGTTAAAATCCAAATTGATTGACAACTGAAAGAGCAGAGAAAAGGTAACAAATTGGTCATAGTAATCTACACAAAGAGAATTTTTGATGATAAAGTTCGAAACTTTAACCATGAATTCGAGAACACAACATTAAGAAATCAAATCAAAATCATAAATTGGAGCAATTCTATAGAAACCCACCTAAGATCAATCGAAATTTAAGATCTAGAAGCGAATTTAACTAAGAAAGGAGAAACCTTTAATAAGAAAACATACCGAGAAAAGTCTGAATCCAAAAGGGTTCTTCGTAGAGGAAGAGAAATCGGAAGAAGATTGAAGCGTTTTGGTTGGATTGGAATCTCCTCCGATGTGTTGTGGTTTTGCTTCAGAGGTTAAAGGGATGGATTTTAAATGCCTTTGTGAAGTTGTTTTTTTGTGGATTTAGGGTTTATTTATTTATTTTAGGGGTGTTTGTTTCCCTTTTTCGTTAGATTTATGCCTTTTTCTAGGCCTCGACAAAATACCCGGACGAATATCCGAACCGAAAAATCCGAAAAAATATCCGAACTGAATCCGAACCAATTTTTAAAAATACCCGAATAGATCGTAGACCTCCTACCCGAAAAAAACCCGAACCGAATCAAATATCCGTGGGTATCCGAATACAAATATACACTGAAAATATTAGTTATACTAGATTTGAACCCGCGGTACACCGCGGGGCTATAACTTTTTTTAAAAAAATCTAAATATAATTAGTTTTGTTTATTAATAGAGAGTATAATATAATATTTCGACCTATTTTATAAATGTACCATCCATATATCTATATTAATAGTTTTGAGTATATTAATTGTGTTTTAGGTTTAAATGGTATATCTATATATACACTTAAACGACATTTGGTTTTCTTCTTTATTTTACCTCAGTTTAGGAGAAAGATTTTTCTTGCGGTACACCGCGGAGCTATTATTTTTTAAAAAAGATTTTTCTTCCTTAAACTTCCAAATCTAGATTTTACTTCGATTTTTTTATAACTAAAAAATTATTTTGCAAAATTTTAAGTTGTATTTGTTTTGTTAATATTGTTTATTTTGTTTAGTGTTTCTGATTTTATAATTAAATTTTGATTTTTAATTCTAGGATTTCATCCATAGTATATTGTTTAATATTAATATTGATCTAAACTCGTTGCACCATATAACCCCGTCCCGTAAAATTAAACATCATTTGTTATTTTTTTGGAATAATATTTTTATCCACTACGGGTCGCAGGTTCATGCGGATAAGCCCGTAGAGAGTTGCGGGTTTGCGAGTCGACCCGCCAAAAGAGAAGTTTGAAACCCTTTGTTTTGTTTAGAGGTTTTAAGAAAATATTCCTAAAAAGTAATTTTCATTATATGAAAAAAAAGAAGTAGAAGAAATTGTAGTATCAACATTCCCGATTTTTACATCACTCGTTACAATTAGGTTTTTTTTTTTGCAGATAAAAATCAGAAGTTAACTAAGTCGAGATTTTTAAAAAGATTGTGTAGAGATTTTTGGTAAATTGTTGAGAACATATTTGATTTCAAAATCTTTATTTAAATAGATAAAGAAAGATTTTGTAGAGACTTTTGCTAAATATATGAGAAATGAATTTCAATTAAAAATCTTTACTTAAATAAAACAAATCTAAATAATTAATGCTAATGGCATGTCATTGTAAATACTTCTCAACTTCAGGATTTATTTGCTAATTGTGATCCAAAAATGAATATATAGATTTATACTTATAATATCCAAAATACCTAAAATTACAATCATAAATCCGAATATACTACGTATTTTTGAATAATTCGGATACATTTGGATATATTTGGTTAAAAAATAACTAATGATGTAGTTTTCTTTTGGGTAGTTTTAGTATTTTTAGATATTTTTGGTTATATTTGGGCAAAGAGTAACCAATGTATTTTTGAGAAATCGGGTATTTCGGTTAGATTTGGGTATATACGAGCAAAAAACCCGAACCCGACCCGAACTCGAAAATATTTCAGGTATTTTTGGTTATTTTTGGGTATTTTGCTTTTTTATTAAAATACCCGAACCGAACCGAACCCGAACAGAACCCAAACCAAACTCGAACCGAATTTTTAGAATACCCGAATGGGTCTCGATCCCCTACCCGAATAGACTTGATACCCAAAAAAAAAGAACCGAATCCGAACGGGTACCCGAATGCCCAGACCTACCTTTTTCTAAAGCCTTTTCCAAATTTATTAAGGAAAACAAAAGAAAAGTATAGACCAAAGGAAAAATTAGATTGGATACCATATTTTGTCCAAAATTTAGGTCCAGTACCACTTTCGAAACTCATTTATCACTTATATCACAATTGAGGTGTGTAATGACCACTTTGCCCTTCCTTTTGTTTGCTCAAATTTCGGGGACAAAATTCATAGTTTCAGCACACAAAAAGAAGTTTACATACCATTGTCCCCGAAGTTTGAGTTTCTCCATAATTTCATCTTATTTTTGCATGTTTGCTGGTTTTTGTCCCTCAATTTTAATTCATTATTCTTGGATTTTAGTATGTAAACTCTAATTGCGGTATTTTCATTTTGTTTGATATTTATTAATTTAGATAAAGTTTTGTTTTACTTTTTAAGAATATGTGTTGATCTAAATAAAATTAGAGAAATTGTTTCTTATAGCCCCAAATCAAGTTTTTGGGACAAGAATATCATTCAAAAGTTTATTGGACAAAAATAACACCTTATTTTTTACTTTTTAAATTAATAAAAAATTATAAATAAATACAAAAAATCACAAATTCATCGTTAATATTTTTCCGCCAAAACAAAATTCCGTCAAAATTTTCCCGCCAAAACAAAATCCCGTCAAAATTTTATCATACATATGTAGTTTTGAATTAAAATATATGAAAATTAAAGAAGGAATAAGTATGTTCAAGTAACACATTAGAATAAAAATAAAATTGATAACAATCTAAGATATACACCATATAGTCTCTAAAATAAAATTTAGAATCCAACCTTTACAATGATGTCTCAATTGGTTTTTCAATCCATGCAACAACATAAAAACAAAGAAAATATTTAGGATTTGAGATATGGTGGAAGGAGATGGGAGAATTATAGAATGGAATGTGATGGAAGTTATATTTTAAAATTAATTAATATAAGAGTTACAATTTGAATTTATAGTGGCTCTGACTGGTGAAAGTAAAAAGAATAAAAAATTCTTCTCATTTCTTCTGGCCCTACACCTTTACTTTTTTTTGTTATCAAAGAAACTTGTTATGTTATTTTACAGTAGAAAACCTTTTTCTACTAAATATTACAAAGAAGAATTATCCCGGTTTCCTCTGGTTTCTTTTCTTCTTTGTGTCTACCAGTCACACCCAGTATGTTTGAATGACATTAAGTGAAGAAAAGTATAGTTTCTATACAGACTGCTCATACCTGGTGAAGATGGTGTTTTCCCCGACGGAGTGGCCAGCTTTTTCTACCTATCTAGAGACTATTCAGAGCGACAAGGATGAGTTTGATTTTTTCTCTTTATCTTTGATTTCTCGACGTGCAAATTCAAAAGCGGATAATTTGGCACGAAATGTTCGTATCCAACCGCATCTAATTACCTATGTAAATAATATCCCCCAGAATTAGCTTATATAAGCTAGTCTAATGTTGTTGACAAAATATATATATATATATATATATATATATATATAATTAGTACACAATTTGTATGATGGTTACAATATAGTATTAAATGGTAGATTAATGTATATAATAAATATGTTGTATTTATGGTTTAATTAAAAATAAATATTATTATAATTTTTATTTTTGAAATAGTGAATTGCTAAGTGGACTAATAAAGAGAGAGTGAAACCTTATATATATATATATATATATGATTTTGATACATGTGATGTAACATTGTGTAATTGTAAAATAACAGAAAATAAATATATAGTTTTTCTATAGAAAATAAATTAATATTATTTAATAAAATATACAAGAATATTAAAAGTGGATTTAAAATTTGTAAGAAAGTTGTGACACATTTTAAATATTAGTTTGAAGAAGTGACATTTTCTTTTGTAAACTTTTTTTTTTACTTTCTGATTAGGTTTTTTGTTCTTCACATATTGACAAAAACAAATTTTCTAGTTTATTATGCTTATGTTCTACTAAAGGTAAGCTCTTTGTTAATTATTTGATGATCATATTTACAATAAACTATATTAATATGTTAAAATGAATTAAAAAGAAAACCAGTTTGGCAAAAATATACAAAACATAAGCATAAAATAAGCAAAACATACCAAAAAAAAGAAAAGAAATTATAGTTATTTGAAAGTTATTGCAAAAGTAAATGGTATTACAGGGTTTCCATTGAATGTTTTTTGTTTGTTAGAATGATCTAACAATTGCGGTAGAATTTCAAATAAAATATGGGGCCAGTGATGAACTCACAATTTTCCAATAGACGTTATTCAAACTTTCAAATTAAGATGGTTAAAAATTGGTTAGTTATTTCTTCTTCTTCACAAAAAATTTCATTTTGACACTCTTTACACAAATTAAATAACAAGGTTAAAATTTCTTTATACCTTTAAAATATCTATATAATTACAATTTTTTACTTTAATTTATTTCAATATAATTTTATTGAGTATTCTCATAAACATATATAAGTGTGCTAAAAAACAAAAAATACTAAGTTGATGCCGGTCAAGGTGTCTTTGTTACTCAACTTATGCGCTTTCCAGTCGTTCATCAACGCCATCTGCTCAGCTACTAGCACATTTTTTTTTTTTTTGGTAGGAAAGAGGGAGGCTTGCTCCCATTTATTAAAATAAAACTAAAAAACAACTACGAGCGGACTCGTCTTGGGCGCGCAGACCCAATCACGTCGTCGCTAATTAAAGACTCGACAACATCTGGAACAACAATACAAGAATGAAAGCCAATAGGCAAAGAAAAAGCATAGTTCGCTAACCCGTCGGCTAGACGGTTAGCCTCCCTATACACGTGTGAAATACGGACTATCCAGTCCTTCGATAAGAAGCCGTGGCACAAGCGTACCAGGAACGACAACGGGTGTCTCTCGCTCACCCCTGTCTTGAGGAATCCAACTACCAACTCCGAGTCTACATCCAACTCCACTCTCCGTAACTGCTTCTCCCAAGCAATATAGAGCCCGTAGTATACGCCCCACAACTCCGCTAGTGGAGCCGTACACCTTCCTATGTTGAGTGCAGAACCGCCACACCAACTTCCGAATTCGTCCCGCAGCACTCCTCCCGCCGTGGCCAGTCCCGGATTCCCTCGAGATGCACCGTCAGTGTTCAGCTTAAACCACCCGGATGGTGGCGCGCTCCAACCCACCAGAACTTCTATTCTGCTTCCCCGTGG